TTGGCCAGAACACACTGGTCTAGTATTCGCAATGAAAGCCAACTGTGTGCAACCACCTTCAAAAGGACGTTAATCAGACTGATGCTGAGTTATTGAACATTAGACCAGTGATTCTCAAAGTTTTGTACTGGTGACCCCTTTCACATAGCAAGCTTCTGAGTGCAACCCCCCTTATCAATTAAAAACACTTTTAAATATATTTAATACCATTATAAATGCTGGAGGCAAAGCGGGGTTTGGGGTGGAGACTGACAGCTCGTGACCCCCCATGTAATAACCTCGTGATCCCCTGAGGGGTCCCGACCCCCAGTTTGAGAACCTCTGCATTAGACAGTGTCCCTTCTGGGGCATAATGATTTCTGGAGGGGCATGTTTAACTGTAATAAGGGGCTTGTTTAAATCAGACTCAAAAATCCCACTGCCACTATTACAGCCAGATTCAGAGAGAGAGCTATCCAAGGGTAAGGAACAGGGCCAGATCAGCCCGTCGCTGGGCCCTAAGCACACATACACAGTTGTTGCTTAGTCAACCCCCCTCCTCCCCAGATCAGTCAGCCACTGGCTCCCACTGCACATATGCTGCCCCCCTCATGCCCACCCCCAGGGCTCTCGCTGCCGCTCTCCTGGCCAGCTTCCCTGTGCAGGCACAACTGCAGTTCCCCATCCTGTGCCTGGGGCGGCGAATCTCTGGCTAGTGGTCTGGGGCAGGAGCTGGCCCCACAGCAGCAGAGTGGAGAAACAGCACTGGCCACCTCACTGCCCACTCAGGTTGGGCCCTGCCACCCCTCCGTCACAATGGGGGCGAGGCCAAATTTGAGTGAGTGGCATTGCAACCTAGTGCACGGGTGTTACATCCCTGCTCGGTGTCCGTCCGTCCGTCCCCCCCCAAAAAAACAAAAACAAAAAACCTGGGCCCTCGACATGTGCCTAGACTGCCTATGCGTTCATCTGGCCCTGGGGAGGAAGTCTCCCCCCTCGAGAATGCCGCTTCCCCCATGAAGGAAGAAGGTATTTTTGTCCTTTTTGGACATCTTCCTTTTCTTCTTGGGGGCAGGGGCCAGCAGGTGAATTCCAGACAAACAGAGAAAGCAGAAGGGTCACAAGCATAATACCCCAGGACAGAGCTTGGGCCTTAAACCACTAGCATCTGAGGTGGTAGCAGAGCACTTGGGTCTTCCTCTATGTGGACTGCCCATGTAAGGCGCAAAAGCAGAGCCCCAGAGACTAGTACAACCCTGTGCACAACAGACCAGTGAGATACAAGAGAGTTTCCAGCACCCCAGGTCCGTGGTGGAACAGCCAGCATCACAGGGTAACATTTCGAAAGATCACAGTAGTGCAGTCCCTTTCGGCTAGAGGCCACCTGTCTCATGGCTGATAATCCTCACTCCCCAGGGATCTCTGTGCAGCTTGGGAAGGCCAGGTCCATGGCAGCCAGTGAAAGACCATGCAACATGAAGGTAATATAATCAATGCCAATCAACAGGGGCTTGTGGAAAACAGATCTGAAACTAACATGATATTTTGTGACTCTAAAAAAAGAGTTTCCACAGCAGTGTCCTGGTTGGTTTTGGAAATAGTCACTGGAGTATAAAAACCTGAAGGTTCTTCCTGTTAACTAGAATAAAACCATATCCTGAGCCTAAGAGACTCTTGCTATCAATCCTGACATTTGTTGTTCAGTGTGTAGAGATAAATGTGTCACTGAGGTAATAATTGTATGAGCTGCTGTTATTTGAAGATAAGCCAACACTTCAGCTGTGCATTTGATAGTAAAAAAGGAAGTAGAGAACCATGTTCATTACCAGATCAGATTAGATTTTCTGTTAAATATCTGATTAATCAATGTAACTTTCCTGAGAAACCAGGTCAAATGTCCCAGAGACAGGATATGCATGCCTGATCACTTAATCCTCTAATCAGATGTTGTTTATACATTCTGATTACTTGGTTTTGTAGCCACATATTAACAGAGTACAAATAGCATCTTCGCTCTTAACTTGTGTAAGTCTGCTGCTAATGGACTCGTGAGGCAATGTCAACTCAACACCTGGATAGTCTCTTTTCAGACTAAGGGTTGGGTCTTTTGAGCTTTCAGAGAACAGCTGATACCACTCCACTACCTCCCACTGATCCTCAGTTCACCAACCTAGCAGCACACAGCCTCCAGAGCTGGGAGCCATTCAGGTACCCCTCCAGTCAGGGCCCTAACATATAGTCAGTTATGCACGGGATGGCCTTTAACTCTCTCTACCATCAACACTACTCCACACCCACGCACACTCAGCTTAAAACCCATCCCTGGCTCTCCGGTCCCATACCCTTTTATAGAGCCGGAAGCTTTTCTGCATTCAAACAGTAACCTGTGCTGATCTCACCTTATCAGCCATGGCTGCCAAAGTGCCTTCCCTTCGTTGGTGAAAGGGCAACTGTATCTTGCACCATCAGACCTGGCTTGGCCACTGTGATTCACACCTTTGTGGCTTCCAGGCTGATCACTGCACCTCCCTGTGCTTGGGAATAAGCACATTGACCTTAAAGCTCCAGACCATGGCAGCAACCCTAGCTGCCAACAGTACATCACTCCATTGCACTTCTCATAATATGGGCTATCAACAGCACTCATCTTGAAGACCCTACACTGCACTGGCCCAGGCTATGTAAAAGAGCCCCTCTTACTCAGGTATTGCACCCTTATTCCTCAAGAGCGGCTTTCCTAGCAACTAGCCCAAAGGTATGGCACTCCTTTCCAGAGGAGATCGCCCTGAGTGCTGAGGTGTGTGGTCATTCCTAGGTGCAAACCCACTTTTTTAGCCACAAGAGCAACAGAAGAAAACTTGCACTCTTCCCTCACCCAGCAACCTCTTGGAAAGGAAGGAGAAATCTAGTTTATTTGCTGGATTCCTTGCTCTATTGTCTCCAATTTGCAAGCATCCAGATATTAGTGGTAGGTCCCTGGTAAGAACCCAGTTTATGCACATGCAAACAGAACAACTGGGTCCCTTCGCTACAGTTACTGAAGTTGTGTGATGCTAATTCCCACAAACCTATCAAAAAATTCTTATATCAAGACTGGAAATTGAAGTCCTGTCATGCAAATCCACCAGACATATACAGAGATGGCCCAGCCACTGCAGAGCCATCGACTGCAGTAGCAAGCCACTCCATAGGATTTCGATTCCCTCTTTCCCAATTTTCATGGGACTACCTAGCACCAAGCCCTTAACCCTATGGTGACAGACCCATTAGAAATCCTAATAGAGCCCATTTCCTCAAGCACTGCATAGGGGAAAGGATTTGGGCCATATGAATAATGCAGGAGAAATACCTTTTCATATAGATTCAGAAGCCAAGTGATGCCAGAAAGAAAGAAAGAAAGAAAGAAAGAAAGAAAGCCCCAACAAAGTGCAACTGCCTATATGTAGCCAGATCCTCAGATGCTGTTAATCAATGGTGTATTTCAGTGAGCGCCACTGAAATACACCATCTCAGGATCTGCCCCATAGTTTCGCTAACTGATGAAATAGCATTTCAAGGAAGCGGTTTCTTTCCACAACACTAGCTAAACAAATATAGCTCAAATGACTGAAGTGATCATAATCCGCTACTGAGAAAGAGGCGATTTGTACAGGTTTGTGAATGACAACTTAGTTAATACACCGTTTTACATTTCTCTCTACATTTTGTAGTAGAATCTTAATTTTACAAACGCCAATCTTATGAACAACTAGTTATATAGACCATGTTTACTTGACAGGGAAAAAAGTCATATAATGGAAGTGATGTTAATGAAGAACAAGTTGACATCCCTGCACAATCTGATGCCCTCAGTGCACTGGAAATCACTTTTCAGGGATCTGAAGGACAAGAAGAAAAAAAAAGCAACGCAGTGCACCCTACTGCAACTTACGGCGTATACCTACTGTCATTCTGAAGTGGTCACTTTTATGAACTTTTTGATTTTATGAAACCCTTAGTCCCCAATTAGTTCATAAAATAGGGATTCCATTGTTATCTACTTTGCACAAAGGACCATTAGGCTATGGCTGAAGTTACTACAAGAGCAATAACCTTTCCAGTTATCAGTTGCTCTCCCGCGCCGTTTCAGTCATGTTTTATCTCAGACAAAGCGCCCCGTCCAGCGGTATCCCGTGGGGTTATGCTAACTGTTTACGGTGACATGCGTCCTTTTGCGGCTAGGAGACACAGAGGAACAAGTTGTTGATTCAGCCCAAGTCTCTGCCTTGCCCCCAACAATAGCTGTAATGCTAGACAGTGGAATTATGAACAAATAAAACCTGTCAGTGCAGCAGAGCACCCTGCCTGCTATGTAGTCAGAGTGTTAGATGAAGACACCTGATGTGACACTAGCAGCACAACACAGTGGAAATCCGGGAAGTTTCCACGTCTAGCACACACTAACTTTCCTGATAGCTAAACTCAAGATTATCAAAGAAAAACACGGGGATTGTTTCTTTTCTTTCGGCAAGACGCTGCCGTGCGGAACAAGGATTGCTACCCACTTTCCTGCCTCATGTAAAACCCCCTGGAGCCCAAGGGAATGTTGCCTGGGAAATAACAAGACGACAGGGTCTCTAGGGTGTTATTGTTTCAGTACCAGCATCGCATCTGAAAGTCAAAGACGCTGGGAAATTGCACTCATGGCAATACCTGCTCCTGCAAACCTGATCCTCACCTGCCGCACACCTGGTAGTCCCGTTTGCAATACTCCACAGCCAGCGCGATTGCAGGCGGGAGAAACCTTCTGCAAAGACCAACTTCGTTGTGTGCACCCCGCTTCCCAGAGCCCGGTGGGCAGCCCCGAGAGACCGGGTCTCTGCCTGGGCCCGAGCGCCCGGCGCTGCAAACCGGGAAGTCCCGCGGAACTCCCGCGGGGTGCGGGCCCGGGCTCCCCCGCGCAGCGCCGCGTTACACCCGCGCCCCGCGCACCCCCCCGGCGGGGGGCGAGTCCCTCCCCCCCGCGGGCCGCGCTCCCTTACCCCGCCATCTCCTCCGTCCATCGCCCATCGCCGGCCCCGCGAGCGGCGGCGCCTCCCCCCGCCCCGCCCAGCCGGGCCGCTGCTGCCGCCGGCGCCGCCGAACTTCCCCGCGAGCCGGGACAGAGCCTGGCCCCGGCCTCTGGGCATGTGCGAGCCTGCCGCCGCGGCTCCCCGGCGCGCATGCGCCGACGGACCTGCTCGTGCGGGCGGGCGCGTGGGGGCCGCGCGCCGGGACAGCCGCTGCCAGGGCTCGCGCGGGGACAGGCCG